TTTGTACGGGACCCTCGTTGCGCGAGTCCGACCCGCACTTGACCGGCTTTTCTATACCACACAGGTGGCAAACAAGCATATGCCCCATCTGATAATAAGAAGTTACCGTAGGCTATGAACGCCTGTGATACCAGGGGCTTTGCCTGCGCATTGTCGATCCTGATGAAACCTATTTATTTATGTCTCAATGCGAGAATGTACGTACCAATGTACGTACAATAAATTAAAACAATTGCGTCTTTTTGATATCATTTTAGGAATTGTTATGACTCTCAAAAAAAGGTGGTTTGTGTCTAAATTTTTTATTGTGTGTATATTATGCAAATTCCAAACTGATTTTCGCGATGTTTTTTTTTACAATCAAGACTCTACTCCCATGTAGATTCCATATTAATTTTATAACAACTGAAGCTGCCATGTTTTTTTTTAAATGTTGCGAAATAGTATTTATGTGTATATTTTTATGGCTGATAATAGAATGATAACTCTACCTGCGCTAATGGTGAGGATTGATAGGTGAGAATGAAAAGGCAAGTCAGTTAGCTCATTGTGATAAATTCACTTGGAATTAAACATGATGTTATTTACGACCATAAGGAAGTCGACATGGTAGAGTATATTGCTAGTAATAGGATGAATCCCTATTACTAACAATCCCTTCCCCCTTTTAGACTATATTACAAAATAAGCCATTTTACATCTTGTGGTAAATCACGCTGATTCACCATTGAAGTAGCTTTTTTTACAGAGTAATACATACTTGTTAATTTAACATGTCAATACCTTTACATTCCCGCACAATACCACGGGTAACAGTTTGTATAGACGCCACACTTACTGAAACCATCACAAAGGGGCACTGATGCTAATATCATAAGGAACCGCCTCTGAAACGTTCCACTCACTCTGTTGACTTACCATGAATATTCAATACGTCTGCCAAATTCTAGACCGCAGTCTGTACCGTGTACAGACTATCAAAATTAGGTATATTCAAGTCACCACAAGCTACGGATGTAGTTAGCATAGACGTAAATAGATATAGATGACTTTGGAACGAGAATTTACAAGAAAATCATATAGAAATTAATCATTACGTTATTTAAGATAGATAGATAGATAGATAGATAAACACTTTATTTGAGCCATTTAACACACGTAAATTAATAAATAAAATGAAACAATTTGATTATTTACATTTTTTCAAATATAAAACAACATATAAAACAAAAAAATTAATATTGGAGATATGTTTTCAGCAAGTGTGTCGCAGTGACCCAAAAAGGCTACAGCTCAGTGATACCTTTGCTTAAAAGCAAAGCACTGATTTTCAGCTGCAACCTGAAGTAAGGCTACACGGACGCGTGCAACAAACCCAGAGTGTTACCAATTTAACCTTTTATTTTGACCTGTGTAACCAATTTAATAGCAAAAGGTAAAATTATATTATATAGATACATACTTATATAGATGATGCATAAATAATATATTTCATTAATTAATTAAACATAATTTTTAACATATACAAATAATAATTCACCACAGTAATTATGTTAAAAGCAGTCGCTACCAGGCAACTAATCCAAATGTTTGCTTATTTAATAAATGTTGCTTTATCAACTTTTTAAAAATTGATTTGGATGCAGCTAGTCTCATTGGAGGGGGTATGCTATTCCAGCATTTAGTCGCCTGGTGGCGAAAACATCCGGTAAAAGCGACTGTCCTATGGTTATGAACCGCCAACGGGGGCCGCGTTGATCGAGACACATTACATCCATAATAATTGTTGAAAGTCGGAAATTTGAGTTTTTTATATAGATATTCAGGGGATTTAAATTTCACAAGATCAAACATAAGTACAGCAAGATGCAATCGTCTACGTGAGTCCATGTTCAACATAGATGCTTCATTCAAATATGGTGTAATGTGACTACGAGGTGAAACAACAAAGCAAAAGCGACAGCACGCATTCTGAATCCTCTGTATCATTCGACGAGATGAAGAAAGGAGACGAGGCCCGTAGACCAGATCACCATAATTTAATCTGGATAATACAAGAGATTCACAGAGTGTAATTCGTGATCTTTCTGACAACAAATTTCGTATCTTGTATAATATTTTAAGTCGATAAAAGCAATTCCGGACCAAACCCAACACATGGTTTTCAAAACGTAAATTACTGTCAAAAAGCACACCAAGGTTCTTTGCCTCGCAAACATGTTCAATATTTGTATCACCGATCTTTACAACTAGATTATTATTCGATGCCTTCTCAATTTGATTTTTCGAGCCAATTACCATATATTTTGATTTTAAAGGATTAAGAACAAGAGCATTATTATTAGACCATGCAGCGATGCGATCTAAATCTTCATTCATTTTCTGAACGGCATTAGATATCCCAATTTGACTTCTAGATATATACAGTTGTACATCGTCCGCATAACAATGATAGTTACAGTTCTTAATAACATTAGGGAGGTCGGCACTGTATATAATAAATAGAAGTGGGCCCAGTATAGATCCTTGAGGAACTCCACGCTTCACCAACCTGGGGGAAGATATCATACAAGTACCATCATCCTTCAGCAATTTAACCGCCTGAAATCGCTCTCCTAAATAACTCTTAAACCAATTAATCGAGTGATGATTAAACCCATAATATGACAATTTAGAGAGTAATAATGAAATATTGAGACTATCAAATGCGCGGGAAAAATCAAGTAAAGTTAATATAGAGCCTTGACCATTATCTTGAGCAGCCAATATGTTGTCTGTCACATCAAGCAATGTTGTGACAGTGCCTCTGCCCTTTCGAAACCCCGACTGGAAAAGCGGCAGTATCTTGTTGACTTCAATGTATTTTAATAATTGAAAGTATATGGCTTTTTCCAAGATTTTAGATAAAAAAGGCAATATACTAATAGGTCTCAGATCTTTAAATTCCTTTGGATGGTCAACTTTAGGAAGAGGAGTAATTAATGCCTTTTTCCACTGATGAGGAACCACACCTGTTACAATTGATTTGTTAATTATATCAGTAATAATAGAGAGAGTATGTGGTAGGGTAAGCAAAACCATGTCTCGACTAATACCATCAGTCCCAATTGCGTTTGATTGTATGGACAAAATATACTTGGCAACATCATTTGAACTGATAGGTTCCAATCTAAAACTAGGCGTCGTTGTATTAAACCGATGAAATTCAAAATAGGTTAGCTGTGAAATAGGGACTGTTTCAGGTCCGGGCACTTTTAGAAAATATTTATTAATACTATTAGGGTCGTTAAAGCTGTCAGGAAGATAATCACTTTTACAAGGATCTATTAATATTCTATCCCTCAAATTCTTCCAAAACACTTTACTATTACTCGTATTAGAGTTAATATAATGATTATAATAGGCTTTCTTCTCAGCAGCAATACTCATAGACACTGTATTTTTGAGGTCTTTATAATATTTTTTGTCCCTCTCTAATTTAGACTTACGATATTTATTATGTGCTTTGTTGCGTAAGTCAATCATGCACTTAATTGTATCAGTTATCCAAGGAAGTGACTGATGACGTTTGAATTTTCTCGTCATTATTGGAGCATGCCTGTCGAAAAGGGACATAATAAGCGTATTAAATCTATCGACCATATCATCAACCGTGCTCATACATGAAACAGATGCCCAATCATGTGTAAGAAGGTCCTCATTAAATTTATTTATGTCTATATTTTTTATGGGTCTATATGTCACGGATCTAGGTGGAATTTTAGATTTCCTTAATGTGAGAGTAACATTTATCATCGCATGACCAAGTGAACCAGTAATATTTGTGACAGAAATGTCACGGATCCTACAATTTGTACATACAAGATCAATTAAAGTATCGGAACCAACTGAAAAATGTGTCGGTTCATTCACTATCTGTTTAAGATCCATACAGCTTAAAAATTGGTTGAATTTAATTACACTGTTATTCGAACTATCGAGTAAATTGATATTAAAATCACCTAGCAGCACAACGTGATCATAGTTTGAAAAATATGTTACCGATTCGGTTAATGCATCAATAAATAAGTCTACGTTTAACCACTGTGGTCTATACGCCGTACCTACAATAACACGATAACCATTTACTATTGTCGATAGCCACATCTGCTCAATACCTCCATTGGGATGCTTTACATAGCGCACGCGCATGCCTTGCTTAACATAAAAAGCTACACCACCCCCTCTACCGCCACGCATGTACTGCGGACGCGGCGTGTTCCTTAGCCGGTACCCTGGCACCGTGGGGGCACGCGCCTCCTGGCCTGCCGGCAACCATGTCTCGTTTATCGCCACAATATCCGGTTCGAAACGATTCATTGCAATAATGAAATCATCATGACCTGTGTTCAACGATCCCGCATTATATAGCGCTAACTTAAAAAATTGACTTTTCATCATCATGGCATCGCATATACACATGCATATATATATAAGTCATAATTGTACATTTGTAAATATATTTTTGTTAAATTTGTATTAATTAATGTAATAAATAGTAGTAGATAAATAGACACAACACATACTTCAAAATAATTGCAAAAAAAAGAAAATAGTAAGCTATTAAAATATAAGTAAAAGGTGTAAAAAAACAATAATCGGTACATGTGTAGTATCAATACAAACGGTTCAAGATCATAGGATATTATCACTGCGACACACTGGTTCACCCTACTTTTATATGTAAATAGCGGAGTAGCCGTACAATGTGTATAAAAAAGGAAAATATATACAAAACCACTCAAGCTATTAAACAATAAATAAATATACTCCAAAATTGTAAAAAAATTGACTAAAGCATGCAATAAATGTAACAAAATACCATAAAAAAGAAATAAAACTAACACTACCTCAAGCTTTTGTACACTGATAACAATAAAATATAGATTATAAACAAATAATAATGTTTTTTGTACATTTTTAGAAATTTCGAAGAAAATGTAATTACAGCAGTGTACTAAATATGTGTAACGTAGAGATTTAAAAAATAGAGCGAACCGCTTCCGGACCAAAAACTCGAACAAAATCATCGTCCGTCCGCAAACGCAAACGTGGAGAACCTTTATCGTGATATTGCCGTACATATATCCTGCCTTCCTTTGTCCACACGTAGCGCCATTTATACTGATTACAAAAAGTCCGTGCGCGTCGAAATAGTTGTCTGTTAACCTTTGTCAACCTCTCATTTACATAAAAGCGACGCGGTACGCCCGGCAGCCCTGTTCCTTCCGTGGTGGCACCGCGGCGTACCCGCGCAGCCTGTAGCAGCTGATCACGGGTAGCACGGCGCGCCAGTCGTACCACAATAGGACGAGGGCGCTCCGAACTCACTTCTAGAGACTCTGCCATGCGTCCCACACGTCTCGCACTCACTATGTCCTGATCGGACAAATTAACACCCAGCTTAACAGCGAGAGTCGTAACAACATGCGACAGGCTTTCCTCTTTTTGCTCCGAAATACAAGATATTTCTATATCGTTTAATAAAAGATCTTGATCTCTATCGTTGATGTCCATTTTTAACTCGTTAATAGAAGCGAGAAGTGATGTGTCACATTGCTGCACACCGGACATATTGCCCATCCGATTCTCCAAGCTATTAATGCATTCGTCTATCTTATCCATACGACTCTCGCATGCACTAACTCTACTTGAGATTGCAGTCAATGTCTCATTTAAAGTTTTTAACTGAGCCCGTGTCGACTTCATTTCATCTCTAAAAAGACGTATCTCCATAGTAAGCGCTTGTATATCCGTTATTTCGCTGGTGGTATTTGGAGTGGTATCATTTAATATTGACTGCTCTGCCAGAGAAATATCCATATGCAAGGGTGAGCCCGGAACTGCTCCTCCGCGCTGCACAGTAACACCATCTACTGCTGCTCGAACAGGAGTATTCGTATTGTCGAATTTAGGTTGCCTGCTTTTACACATCACACACCGCCAAGCATCTCTATGCTCCTTCGTTAAGGTGTTATAAAAGCGCTGCTCGGATATATTTGCGCAATCCAAATCAAAGTGTTGATTACATCCACCACAATAAAGATATCTCTTGTTTTCAATTAATTTAAGGCATCCAGCACATTGTATTTTGTCTGACGACATTGTAAAAAACAAAAAAAAAAACAAAAAAAAAAATAACAACAATAATAATAAAATAAAAAAAAAAAATCAAAGGATGAATTCCGAGACTTGAACCCGCAACCTCCGTCAATGTCGCACTTTGCGCTTGCACCTCCGCGCCAGCGACAACTTAAGAAACTTTTTCAAAATTATGAAATATATATACAGCGCAGTGAGTGCGGTTGTGAGTAATTACTGAACAATTATTGACATTGAAACTCACAAGGTCACTTAGCACAATTCACGGTCACTAAGTCGAGTAGAATTTAACGGTTAGAATAACTTAATTTAATCACTACATCAAAACTATTTCAGATCCAGAATAATGAAATATAGAGTTTTAAAGGTTACACTTTAAGGAGCAGAATCATTACTTTTGAAATCCAAATATACTTGTTTTTAACAATTTAAAAGATAAATGAATACGAGAACTAAAAATACACGTCCGCAGCTGTCACCGCGTCCGTAAAACCTCCTCAACTAATAAACTATACTAAACAACTATACTAAGACTCAACAATACCCTTGAAGAATTATATCATCATCATTTCAGCCATTATCCGTCCACTGCTGGACATAAGCCTCCCCCATAGACTGCCATAAAGAACGGTCCTGAGCCACCTGTATCCACCGACTCCCTGCAATGCACTTCAAGTTGTCACTCTATCTTGTGGGGGGGTCGTCCTACACTGCGTTTACCTGTACGCGGTCGCCATTCAAGAACCTTTCTTCCCCATCAGTTGTCGGTTCTTCGAGCTAGTCCAATGTAATATGACCAGTCCATTGCCACTTCAGCTTGCTTATCCTTCGGGCCATGTCAGTTATTTTGGTTCTTTTGCGGATATCCTCGTTTTAGATTCTATCACGCAAAGAAACTCCGAGCATAGGCCTCTCCATAGCCCGCTTAGTAACTTGTAGCTTTTGCATACGGGCAATAGTGTAGGTCCATGAAGAAACATATATGAATACATTAATATCATTAGTAATGGCATGACTATATAAAATATGCGAGATTTTTACGCGATGCGAGTCGAGATTGATAATTATCATACAAAAATGTTCAAATTCAACTGCTTGCATAGATTTGAACAAACATTTTTTGTTTGAAATGATGCGAGCCTGAGGGGGGAAGGGATTGTTCAGCGAACTACCAGTCCCATTGCTGGCAATGCACCCTGTCAGTTCGACATCCACGCGGTTCCCCTTGAAAACCATCTTGGTTACTTCTAATAGAATTCGTTACAATGAGCTAACTGACCTGCTTCCATCGTCACCTATCATTTATAACTGGTGTTTCTTCAGCGTATACCGATAGCGCAGGATTCGGGGTAGTACGTGCACGTTGCTGACCCTGAAGAAACCTTAAATACCCTTTTTGATAAACCCCATACTGTAGTCTCTAGAGAAAACTTGGAATTTAGAAAATCTAGGGTAACCATTATGAATATGAAGAGCAGCATGAACATCACTTATCATAAGTACAATGACTCTAATATATTTGATGACAATGATCAATTATCTGGTACTATCCAAGCCTTATTAGTTCGTCAAAATGGAACAAACGGTAGAGATGTACAGTGTCAAGTTAGTTCACAACTTGTAGGCAGTTCAGGAGTGACAACTTGACAAGTTCATAAACAAACCAGTCAACGGGGAGCCTTGTTACAAACTCAATTAACAACACAAAATGTAATTTCACAATGGAAAGAATTAGATATCACAGCTTACGTTCCGTTATTTAGATATGTTATAGTCGTACTTTTGGGATCTTGGCGTAAGGCTAAAACATAACCTATGCTTTATAAACAGACCCTATAAATACTTTCTACTTATGGGTTCTCAAGGTACGATAAAATCCCTTTAAGGGTATTTAGTAGTACATTGTACCATTGTGCGAAGCTGGGGCGGGTCGCTAGTAAATTTATAAATATTAGTACAACAAATTTCGACCTGCAACTTCGTGTCCATTCAAGGAATAAAATGTAACCTCTATGTCAATCTAAAATAGGTTATAGTTAATCTACGTTCCGAATTTAAATCGAACCCATCCAGGCGTTTAGGCGTGATTAATTAACAAACATGTTCATAGACTCAGATTTAGGTGTAATAGTAGGTTCCTGTAATGTATAATAATGTAGATATACGTAGATAGAGTGAGTAATTCATGTTCACTAAAGTGTTCAGGCAGGTGGCGCGTCGCGTCGGTCCGGATTGTTGAGCATCCTAAAATATGGCTGAACGTAATTATGGTCGGCCCCACCGTCATATACTTGAAAGAGATTCCACTGGTTTGTTTTAATTTACTATATGATTTATTGTTTATTGTTTTTTTTTCTCTAATTTCATAAGTTTGTGTTTATTTTTTTTATGTTCTAACCTCAGCTCGTGTAATTTTTTTATACTACGTAGAATAGCAAACAAGCTGACGGCCCACCTGATGGAAAGTGGTAACCGTCGCCTATTGGCATGAGCAGTACCATGGACATAACAGAATATTCTGTTTCGCCCATGACACTCCTCATGCGTTACCATTCCTGAGGATTCAGGTGTTATTCCTTTGTTGTGTTTGCATTGCTGTATCACAGCCATGCAAACATAACTGCTTCACGGAATAAACACGAATGGGACAGAGGTGTCCAAGCATACGACTTTTGTACAAAGTCTCCATCTGGTGGTAAATATACAAAATCTTAAATTTTATTTAAAAAAAATTCAGTAAATCTAACTATTGTAAATTCCCGGGGTAAAAAAAAATAATGTTTGGGCTAATTAAGCAACAGAAATAAGTAATGATTCTATACAAATTACTGGTTTATATATTTTTTTCTCACACCAAAATAGTGATCTTGTTTGAATAAAAGAAGGGACTAAAATAAAAAAGACTATAAAAAAAATTAGTAGGTGCAATGCGGTTTTAGAAAGAGAGATTTTTTTTTTCTCTTGCGTATGCTCAAGTTGCGGAATGAGCTTAGTGGTGCCCCTAGAGATTACACCATAAAAAGAGTATAATGGGGTTTCTGTAACGCGCACGTGACTTTTTTGGTGTTGCAGATATCCATAGGTACAACAATATTATTCTTTTGCCACATACTATGATAATCGTTTACCATCAGAAGGGCTTTATGTTTATTTATACGTTTTTTTATCAACTTCAAAAAAGAGAAGATAGTTAAGAGTATTTGTACTTTTTGTGTGTATCATACACATAACGACCAATTTTAAACTAATTTTGATAATTTTATTATTTTTATAATCTATACAATTTACTTTTAAATCATGATTCTCTAAGTATATCCTATACTTACAGATTGATCCTACAGAAATTTTTATCAAAATAGTTTTTTTATGCACCTAAGAATGGCAAACAAGCTGACGGCCCACCTGATAGAAAGTACAAGTAGTATATATGTATGTATATATATATATAATATGATGCACTAGTTTCCTTTTTCATTTTATTAAAAAAAAATGTTTTTTGTTACTTGAAGTGCTTGTTCATTTATATTTTTATAATTATATTACCTTCCTAAAGACACTGTGCTTCCATATCAGCTTACAATCTTTTCGCCCATGCTATTATTAATATCCCATTGCTAAGCGAATGACTTCCCCATCATCCAAAACTTCCCGTTCTGCGCCACCTAAAACCAGTTCCTTTTAAATTTGTCTTGATCTACACGCCGTCGCTTCCTGGGCCCGGCGGCATATAAATTATTTCAAATGTTTATGAATTAGGAATGTGTGCTACTAACTAGCTACTAAGCAGTGTTTCATCAAAATCTCTACTCTTCAGTTCAGTACAATTCGTTGTTTTTTTTTTTATTTTATTTTCCTTTTCTTCATTTTCATATTATAATAATCATGCAGTATTTTGATAGATTGGGTAAATACATTTTTAAGACTTAGCTATGTAAAAATCTTTTTTTTTATTTTAATTAACTAAATTTTTTTCTATTGTAAGTACTTACTATTTATTGTTGACAATAATGATATTAATGTAAAAATCAGAAATATTTCCATGAAAGTATCCATCAAATTGTGCATCAGTTGCTCGGGGTAGCAATTTGCCGATATAATCCTGTTATTTAGGTCACCGACGCAGTGCATGGGTGCATTTTATGAACATTTTTATCTATTTGTTGCCTATCGTTTTATTTTATCTTTTTTTTTTAATTAGTGGTCAGTGACTAAGTTGTGTACCTAATAATTTTACATCGTGCCTCCCACCTAATTGTTTATAATTACTCCTCTCCATGTAAAGGTTGGTATACAATATCTGTATATATGAATGATTGGATGAAAATGTTTTATTGTTGCCTTCAAAGGTTGATACGAATTATAAAGATTAACAATGTGTACACAAAAAAAATATAATTAATTATATATATATATATATATATATATATATATATATATATATATATATATATATATATATATATATATATATATATAAAGTCTAAGAAAGAGGAACCATAATCAATACAAATGAATGGTACTTCAGTTTGAAACTTCCGTGCCTATTGTAATTCGCGTGGGTACATAAACACATTACATTTGTTGAGAAACAAAAGCAATAAATAAATAATTAATGAACCCATTATTGAATCCCTAAGTATCTGTTAAATATTTATCTTTATTTATTGCCAATTACTTTTATTTAATACCAATATAAATGTTTAATAGCAAAAATTTGAAATGTAAAAATATATTATTGAAATTTAAATATGTCATTGCTAATAAAACTACTTTGATAAATATAGTAAAAAAAAACAATGAATAATAATGAATTTGTTCAATATTTTTCGTAATTACCTAATAATAAAAAAATGTAATTTAAATATTATTTTTTTTGCAGGAATGTGAAATAATACTCCACTCCCTCCCTCATATTTGTATTCTGTAAATAAATTAGAAATAAAAAAAATATTGTCAATTTTTTAATAACTAAAAAATAAATTTAAACATTATATAATTTGTTTATAAAATTTTATTATGTAAATTATAAAATAACGTAAAATTAGAACTTCCGTACCATTTAACTTTTATATATATTTTTAAAATACTT